TTAAAAAATATTTTCTTAGAATAACATGCTTAAAGACTATTCCTCCATTGGTCATCCAAAACCAAACTGAATTCACTGTCATCCAGTCATTTCTGACTCATAGCAACCCTATATAGGGTTTCTAAGGCTATAAATCTTTATGGGAGCAGATAGCCTCATATTTCTCCCATAAAGCAACTGGTGGGTTTGAACTGCCAACCCTGCAGTTAGCGGTCCAGTGCTTATCCTACAGCACCACCAGGGAAATGCAAATCAGAACCACAGTGAATTGGAAAACAAACAAATAAAAAGCTCTGGGTGCCTACTAGTTTACACGGGATTAAGTTGTCTAGATTGTGTGAATTACCTGTTGTTGTTGTCAGGTGCCATCAAGTCAAAACCGACTCATAGCGACCCCATGCACAGCAGAACAAAACAATGTCTGATCCTGGGCCAACCTCACTACCGCTGCCACACTTGAGTCCATCAATGATGCCACCTGGCCAATCCATCTCGTTAGGGGTCTTCCTCTTTTTCTCTGACCCTCCACCTTACCCAGCATGACATCCTTCTCCAGCGACTGTTTCCTCCCGACAATATGTCCAAAGTATGAGAGATGAAGCTTAGCCATCTGGCCTCCAAGGAGCATTCTGGCTGCACTTCTTCCAAAACAGATCTATTGGTTCTTTTGGCAGTCCATGGCACTTTCAGTATTCTCTTTCAACACCACAACTCAAAGACATCAATTCTTCTACGATCTTCCTTATTCACTGTCCAGCTTTCGCATCCATATGAGGCTATTGAAAACACCTTGGCTTGGGTCAGGCGCACCTTAGTCCTCAAGCTGACATCTCTGCTCTTCAATACTTTAAAAAGTTCCTGTGCAGCATATTTGCCCAATGCAATACGTCGTCTGATCTCTTGACTGCTGCTTCCGCGAGCTGTTGATAGTTGATCCAAGAAGAATGAAGTCCTTGACAACTTCAATCACTTCTCCATTGATAAGAATGTTGTTTATTGGTCCAGTGGTGAGGATTTTTGTTTTCTTGACATTGAGATGTAATCCATATAGAAGGCTGTGCTCTTTGATCTTCATAAGTAAATGTTTCAAGTCCTCTTCACTTTCAGCAAGCAAGGTTGTATCATCTGCATATCGCAGGTTGTTAATGAGTCTTCCTCCAATCCTGATGCCACGTTTTTCTTCATAGAACCCAGCTTCTCGTATTATTTGCTCAGCATACAGGTTGAATAAGTATGGCGAAAGAATACAACCCTATCTCACACCTTTCCCAATTTTAAAACATTCAGTGTTCCCATGCTATGTTCGAACAACTGCTTCTTGGTCTAGATACAGATTACTCAGAAGTACAATTAAGTGTTCTGGAATACTCATACTTCGCAATGTTGAATTACCTAGAACAATCTAAATTAGGTTGCAACCATCATGGTGGAGATTTTATTTTTTATTTTTTTGTAGGATTAGTATGACTCCGTCAGCAGTTCAAATCCACCAGCTGCTCCCCAGAAACCCTATACAGGGTCACTATGAGTTGATGGCACTTAACAACAAGTCTGACCCCAGAGTCCTGGTGTGACGGTATAGCATAAACACTTAACCTCAAGGCCGGTTTGAACTACAAGGTCAGTGGTTCAAACCCACCAGCTGTTCCTGGGAAACCCTTACATAAGGTCACTGTGAGTTGGTCAACAGCAGCAGTCTAGCCCTAATCTCTTTAACAAAGTTGAACCTAGTTATCTCCTTTGTGTAATGGCCCTTTTTGTTCATAAATAATAGCTATATTGGGAATGTTGTTGTTGTTAAGTGCCGTAGAGTCGGTTATGGTATATATCAACCCTGTATAGGGTTTCCAAGGAGCAGCTGGTGAGCTTGAACCACCAACCTTGCAGTTCAAATGGCTTTGCAATCTGGCACATTAACCTACAGTGCCACACCAGGGCTTCATATCGGGAATAGTAATGTCTTATTTGAACAACTCTTTGATTTTGTACCAAGCATTTTCACACTCCTGGTGTGGTGCTACGGGTTAATGAACTGGATTGCAAAGTTAGTTTGAACTGCAAGGTTGGCAGTTCAAACTTATCAGCCTCTCCTTGGAAACTGACTCAATGGCACTTAGCAATGACAATTACAGGTATTTGTGAAAGACTATTGAAGCATATCACAGTCTGCATTGTTCTGTCCCTAAATATTTATGTGTATGTTGTTAAGTGCCCTGGAATTGTTCTGACTCATAGCCATCTTATATAGGGTTTCAGAAGAGTGCCTGGTGTATTTGAACTGCTGACCTTGCAATTAGCAGTCCAGCGCTTATCTTACAGTGCCAAATTAGGACCCATATATGTGTATACTTACGTGCATAGCCTCAGTTTAAAGATGTGGCACTGTAGGATAAGCGCTGGACTGCTAACCACAAGGTCAGTGGTTCAAACCCACTAGCCATTCCTTTGAAACCCTATATAGGGTCACTGTGAGTCGGAACCAGCTCCATGGCACTTAACAACAACAAAAGAGGCCTGGTGGCGTAGTGAGTTACATGTTGGACTGTGAGCCACAAGGTCAGCAGCTTTCTGCTCCTGTTCAAGATTTATAGCCTTGGAAACCCTACATAGTGTTGTTATGAGTTGTAATCAACTTTATGGCAGTGGGTTAAAGGACCTTGTGGTTTATCTATAGAACTATTTTAAGTGACTACATCAGAAGGTTGATTTAACAGGATCAGCCTAGTCTGCCTCCTGGTGTGGTGCTGAAGGATCAGCACTGGACTGTGAACCACAAGGCCAGCAGTTCAAACCCACCAGCTGCTCCTCAGAAACCCTATACAGGGTCTCTATGAGTCAGAACTGACCTGACGACACTTAACAACAACAACAGTCTACCTCCAATCAAACCATGTCCCTGAAAGATAACTATTGCATGAAGATAAGGCTCTTTCTTACACTCATTAGTTCTTCATACCTCCACTAGTATTGCATAGGGATGCTTTAGCAATTTGGCTTTACACAGCAGTTGTAATTAAATAGCTCAGCCAGGAGTTAAGCTGTGTGGGCTCATTTGAAAGGCCAGTATCTCATACAAGAGAATCCCTGGTTGTACAATGATTAAGTACTTGGCTGCTAACCAAAAGATTGGCAGTTCAAAACCACCAGCTGCTCAGGTGGGAGAAAGTTGTGACAATCTGCTTCCGTAAAGATTGTTGTTAAGTACCGTGGAGTCAGTTCCAACTCATAGTGACCCTGCAGAGGGTTTCTGAGGCTGTAAGTCTTTACGCAGAAAGCCTCATCTTTCTCCTGCGGAACAGCTGATAGTTTCAAACTGCTGGCCTTGAAGTTAGCAGCCCATTTCATAACCACTACATTAGCAGAGCTCCTTACAGCCCTGGAAACCCTATTGTTAAATGCTGTTGAATCAGGAGTTTCTGAGGAGCAGCTGGTGGGTTTGAATCACTGACCCTGCAGTTAGTAATCCAGTGCTTATACTACAGTGCCACACCAAACAATTCCATTTTGCCATTATAGGGTCAGTATGAGTTAGAAAGAACCCTGGTGGTGCAGTGTGTTAAGCATTAGGTTGCTAACCACAATGTTAATAGTTCAATGTTGGTGATTCAGGAAAAGATGAGACTGTCTGCTTTTGTAAAGATTTAGTCCCAGAAACCTTGTGGAGTAGTTCTACATTGTCCTAAGGATCTCTACAAGTTGGAATTGACTCAGTGGTAGTGGGTTTTGAGTTGTAAACAACTTGAGGGCAACAGTTATATGAATAAGGAATCCCTAGCTGGTGCAAACAGTAAAAAACAAAAACAAACAAACAAAAAAACACAGTAAGTTACTTCATACCCACCAGAATGAATAATAAGAAGGGTAAACAACATAACAAATATTGGCAAGGATTTGAGAACTTGGAGCCCTTCATGCATTGCTAGTAGGAATGTAAAGTGGTGCAACCCCTCTGAAAAGTTTGTCATTGGTATTTCCTCAAAACATTGAATACAGAAGTAGCCATGTGACTCAGTAATTCCACGCCTAAGTTGTCGAAGTTTTATAAGCTATTGGTTTTTTTTTAAAGATGAATATTTGAGAAATCAAGTTTAGAAATACTTTAAAATTTTTACTCATTGGCTTTAATTGTTATAGAAAATCAAGTGAACTAAATGTCTGCTAGTGGTTAATTAAGTTATGCTATATTTATTTTGTATAATGCTAGGCAGCAATTGAATAATTAGGAATTCTTATTATTTTACAATTTAAAAAACAGAATCATACCACCATGTATTCCATGTAAGGACATTTGTATTTTGACAGAAGTCTTTGTACGTGGAGAAAGTTGGAAAGGCAGAGGTGGTTGTGTTCAGATGGAGAAATTATGGTTAATTTTTGTCTCTTTTTTGAGTATTTATTTAGCACTTGCTATGTTCCAGGCAGTGGAGTCCTTGTGTGATGCTGTACAATAAGAACTGGGTTGCTAACCACAAGGTTGGTGGTTCAAACCTACTAGAAGTTCTTATGGAAACAATTCAGTGACACTTAACATTTGCCAGGCAATATTCAAAGCTCTTTGCATGATTTAACTTAGGGGTCTGCAAACTACAGTACATTTGACCTGTGGGACCTGTTTTTATATGGCTCTTGAGCTAAGAATGGTTTTTGTATTTTTAATGAATTGTTTTTAAAAAAAAAAAAAAAGAAAGAGAAAATGTAACAGAGGCCTTGTTGTATCCTCAAAGCCCAAAGTAGTTAATTGTCTGTCCCTTTGCAGAAAAGTTTGTTGACATAATTAATTTATCTTCACAACATTCCAATAAGGTGGTAAGTCCTATTATTAACCCCATTTTAAAGATTAGGAAAAGGAGGCACTAAAGGACTAAGTAACTTCTCCTTAATGGCAATCACCATGGTTTAGGACAGATTGCAGGCTCTTCCTACAAACTTGCTAATATTTTGGGGTGTTTTTTTTTTTTGCAGTGTAAAAAGTGGATAGTGACTCACTCATATGTCAAAGGATGTCACAGCCTCAATCTAGATCCCCTGAGTGGAAACAGAGGTGAGTACTTCTTAGTTTAGTGGAGTAAGCTTGGATTTGTGATGTGCTGCTACTTTGAAATTTACCAGTACTGATAAAAATCTATTTTCATAAGCTTTATAGTAGTAGATGTTATATTTCTAGATTCTAGGAGCTAACAACTTCATTTAATAACTGAGGGCTAGAATCAATGCCTGATAAAAAGAAATGTAGTAGCCACAATGAGAAACATCTTTGAAAGTAATAAATTTGTTTTTTATTAGTGAGTGGTTTTGAATTCTTCAGTATGTGTGTGTTTTTTTATTTGTAATAAAAATCTTTGAAGAACTTTGGAGCTAGGAAATTAGAGAGTTTTTATTTCTTCTTATTCATAGCAGAATAATAGAGTTTTGAGTAACTCAGTTGTAATCCAACATTCCTCTTTTCTGGTTGGTAGTATAAATAAGAAGTTAGTTTGGAATAATTCAACTAATATTTATTGTATACCTACTAAAGGCAGGTTCTGGTGGGGGAGGAGGTACAAAGGCAAATATGACCTCTTCCATGGCCTCAGTAAGCATATAGACTGGCTGGGGAGATTGACTTTAAATAGCCAACACAGTGTGGCAAATGGTGTGCCTAGTGATTGGGACAAAGTATTCTGATCTGTAGGAATGCAATAGTTAATACTGCTTTTGTGGAGAAGAAAGGACGATACTAAGAAAGTTTACAGTGAAAAGATGAGAGTTTATTTGGGCATTTAAGAAAGGGTAGAGTATCTCAAGATAGAAATAGTTGAGAAAAGAATTCCAAGTATAGAGCTGTGAAAGTTACCAGTATGTTTGTGATTTTCAAAAGGACGATAATTACATATGTAGACAGACCAGGAGTTTTTATGTTATTGTGACTTGACCATTGTGCTGGTTCATTTTGTTTATGATATGACTATTTCTTTAAAGAGTTTTCATTTTGTAGTTCACAAGACCATAATGTAATGAAGAGTAGCTCCAGAAAGAGAGGGACATGTAAAGAAGCAACTGGTTTTTTAACATGGAGGAATTGAAGAGGTCATTTTGTATCCCCCTTTTTTGTGTTAGGTTTTTGTGAGGCTGCACAAGAGTCCTGCCAAGCTAAGTGTCTGATTTATGGACTCCAAAGAACTCTGACAAGAACTTTGAAGGGACTATTATTTCACTGTACTTGCAAGCCTAACACATTAGCTTGCTCCTGGATTAGAGGCAAAGACCATTATTACTTATGGCATGGCAGGCAGTATGAGTTTCATGCTCATGTTGGTTCCCCTTACTCCTGAGTCCCCCAAGGGTGCTGCAGAGCTGCTGGCTGGGTAGATGCTGCAAAGCAGTGGTTTTAGGACACAGTTGAGGAACCTATGTTAGGGTCCTCTCAATCAGGAGGAAGCAAACTTGCTCACCCTTTGTCCCAAAGGGAGACATTAGCTTATCATCCTGGACTGCAAACAGACTGGCCATCTGCCTCTGAAGGAGACACAGTCTGTATCTTCCAAGGCTGTTTGATTTAGAACAAAAGTTGTTAGCTTCTTGAGAGACCCATACAGAAGTCTCCCACAGACTCCTTGGGTGCTTTTTTCCTTTTGGATAGCAACCATTTCAGCAACTTTCTTCCGAAGAAAAGGACTTTTAAAAACACAATAAAATAAAATGCATGATATAAAATATACTATTAAAGTACTATTTAATATGAGGCAAGAATTCAGAAAGATATTGGTCATTTTGTGCAGTCTGGAAGCCCCCTGCCTTTAACTGCCAACTTTTTTCCTTATAATGAAAGAGATAAAATCTTGGGGAAACTATCAGAGGTGCCAGTTGCCACCTTTTATGATGAGGCACAACCAGCTGGATGACAGAGTTCTGCTTTAGCTAATAAACAAACTTTCCAGGACTTCTAGCTTGGTAATTCAAAATAGAGATGTTGCCAGGTTCAGCATATGAGTTATAAGTCTCAGTGTGTACCTCCTTTCTTGGGAGAATACAGACTTGCTATCAAAAGGAAAGAATTTTCCTCTAGGATGCTTCAACCAAAGATGGCAGTTTCTGAATTTGGGATGATAAAAGCTACAAGGGTAGCTTCCTCATCGACTAACCCCAAAACCAAACCCATTGCCATCAAGCTGATTCAACTCATAGCAACCCTAGATAGGGTGTTTGAGACTGTAAGTCTTTACAGAAGTAGACAGCCTCATCTCCTCGTCTTTCTCTCTTCATAGACTAGGAGACATTAAACACTTAGGAGATTAGAAAATTAGAGAAAGGGGACAGTCAGATGGGGACCTGGGAAAGAGGGAAGGAAAGGTCCCCAGGTGCAAAGTGGATCTCATTGTGTTCCAGATAGCCTCGCTTCTCTCTCTTCTACGTTTAATCTAGCCAATCAAGATTTTTTTTTTCTGGATACAGGTGCCGCCTTCCTCAGTGGAACTGAAAGGCTCAATGTTGGCAGATGAGCTATTAAGGGAAGGTAGAGAAAGATATCATGTTTGGTAAAGGGAGGGTTAGAGAAAAAGAGGAAGACCCCCAGTGAGATGGATTGGCCAAGTGGCAGCATCGATGGACTCAAGCGTGGCAACAGTAGTGAGGTTGGCCCAGGATTGGGCAGTGTTTCATTCTGCTGTGCATAAGGTCACTATGAGTCAGTACCAACTCGATGGCACCTAACAACAACAACAAGTTACCATAGAAAGGACGCGTTGTTGCTGAATTACATTAAAGCACACATTTAACCAAAGTTACAAACTCTGTTTGGACAGCTTATCTATCACCTCAGATGTCAGTGAATAGGTCTAAGAAAGAAAAGCAACTTATCTATATTGGTATGGTTGCATGTTCACCTGTTAACTCACATGTTGGCAGTTTGAGTCTACCCAGGGGTACCTCAGAAGAAAGGCCTGGTGATATACTTAAAATAAATCAGCCATTGAAAACTCCATGGAGCACAGTTCCACTCTGACACACACATGGGCTTGCCATGAGTTGGAATTGAGTTAATGGCAATTTTTCTTTTTAATGGAGAAAGTAAACATATGACATTCAAGTCTTAAGCACCCTTACTACCCCTATCATTAATTATATATTTTTTGTTCATTGACACAACCTTTCTTGTTGCTGTTGAGTGTTAGTCATCCAGTCGGTTCCAACCCATAGCGACCCTATATAGGGTTTTCGAGTGGCTGGTGAGCTTGCACCGCCCACCTTGTGGTTCAAATCAACTTTGCAATCCAGCACGTTAACCCACAGCGCCACACATTGGAAAATATGGGCTTGGTCTTAGGTCTAAGTTTGGGTTTAGTTGAGCATCATAAAATCTTAGAATCTAATTTCAGAGGTCTTGTTCAGTTTGCTAGAGAGTCTCTTCCATATTTATTTGTTTCAGTCTAGCCCTTCTTCTTCTTGTTTCTTACCTGGCCATTGGACCTGATATAAAGCTTTTGCTGACTGACCCTTTGAAGTCACTATATCTACTTTTTGCCAGAGTTTGCTGTCAGCAGTCTTCAAGCATGGATCCTCCTACTGTTTAACTAAGCCGGTCCTCCTCCAGTGGGACTAGTGTACTAAACTCATTTTTTTTTCTAATTGTAGTAAAATTATATAAATAAGCAAAACATTTGCTATTTCAGTATTTTTTAAATGTAAAATTCAGTGACATTAATTATTTTCATCATGTGTAAACATCACCACTGTCTGTTGCCAAGTTTTCCCATCACCCATAACAAACTCTGCCCTCTAAGAAATGACTTCTTCCACCCTCCCTACTGTCTCTGATAACCACTAATACTCTTTGGTCTCTCTACTTTTGCTATTCTAGGTATTTCATGTAAGTGGGATCATATAGTATTTGTCCTTTTGTGACTGACTTGTTTCACTAGAATAATGTTTTCCAGGTTCATCCTTGTTATAGCATGTATCAGTACTTCATTTCACTTTATGGCTGAGTAATAATCCATTGTATATACATATGCCACGTTTTATCTATCCACTCGTCTGTTGAACATTTAGGTCATTTTCACCTTTTGATTACTGTGAATAATGCTTTAATGAACATTGATAAGCAAGTATCTGTTTGATTCCCAGCTTTCAGTTATTTTGGATATATACCTAGGAGTTGAATAACTGGATCATATGTTAACAACAACAAATGGTTTTCCTGTGTTTAACTTGTTGAGGAACTGCCCAACTGTTTTCCAGAGACTGCACCATTTTATAATTGCACCAGCAGTGAATGAGGGTTCCAATTTTTTCCACATCTTCTCCAACACTTGTTACTTTCCTTCATTCCAAATCATAGATAATCCTAGTGTGAGTGAAGTGGTATCTCATTGTGATATTTTTGGGGAGGGTAAGGAGTTAGGTTAGGGTTAGGTAAGAGTTGTTGGTGTTAAGTGCCGAGTGAGTTCCAATTTATAGTGACCCTGTAAAAGGTTTCCGAGGAGCAGCTGGTAAGCTTGAACCGCCGACCTTGCAGGTCCAGAGCATTAACCCACAGCACCACACCAGGCTAAGGTTAGGGTTAGGTCATTTATGATTTTGATTTACATTTCCTTAATAACTAATGAAGTTGAATATTTTTCATTTGCTTGTTACCCATTTGTGTATGTTCTTTGATAAAATGTCTTTATAGGTGTTTTGCTTACTATTTAACTGAGTTGTCTATCTTTTTGTCACTAAGTTTTAGAAGTTCTTTAATATTCTGGGAATGAATCCATTTGAATGTTGTTGAGTGCCACTTGAGTTGCTTCCGACTCATAATGACCCTGTGTAGGATTTCTGAGGAGCAGCTGGTGGGTTTAAACTGCTAACTTTGTGGTTAGCAGCCCAGTGATTATCCTATAATGCCACACCAGTATCCATTTATCTAATACCTGTTGTTGTTAAGTGTTGTCAAGTTGGATCCAACTCATAGCAACCCTGTATAGGGTTTCCAAGGAGCGGCTGGTGAGCTCGAACCGCTGACCTTGCAATTCAAACCAACCTTGGAGTCCAGTGCATGAAACTGCAGCACCACACCAGGTCTCTTAGAGGGCCTCAAAAAGTTTATGAAAAAGTTCCATTATCTTTTCTTCTTCTTTTTTTTTTAAACATCTCTATTGAGATATAATTTACAAACCATACAATTCACTCATTTAATATATCGAATCAATGTGGGGTTTTTTTGTGTTCATAAGAGTTTTGCAACCATCACCAAGTTCCATTATCTTTTAACTCCATTTTTCCATGAACTTTCTGAAGTCTCATATTTCCTCAAATTTTCTCCTAATAATCGCTAGGTATGGCGCTGTGGGTTAATGCGCCAGACTGCAAAGCCGTTTGAACTGCAAGGTCGGCGGTTCAAGCTCACTAGCTGCTCCTTGGGAAGCCCTATACAGGGTCACTATGGGTTTGGATCAACTCGTACAGCACTTAACAACAACAACAACAATCTCTAGGATTTTTGTTCATTTTATTGATAAAAATCCTTTGATGCACAAGAGTTTTTAATTTTGATGAAGTCCAGTTTGTCTGTTTTGTCTTTTGTTGCTTTGGATTTTTGTGTCTGTCACATTTGGGTTCTTGATCTGTTTTGAGTTAATGTTTGTATGTAGCGTGAGGTACAGGGCAAGCTCCAGTCTTCTGCATGAGGTAAACTAGTTGTCCCAGCACCACTTACTGGAGTACTCTTACCCCATTGAATGGACTTAATATCCTTGTTGAATATCATTTTACCATAGATGTATGGATTCAACTTATTTTGATATACACATGGAAAACATCAGTTCAGATGGAAAGAATGTGCTTGTTGAATTGGGCAGTACTATAATCAAATCTCCAATATATAATTTAGAATGCAGCTAATAGTAATAGTGATTCTGTATAGATGAATCAGTGGATCGCTATATGAAAAGTAGATGTTTTAGGCAGACCATATTAAAATACACTTAGTATACATCTTTAAATGAACTTAATTTTTCTGTTTGCTTACCTAGATCTTTGTCACCAGAACCTTTAAATTCTGACCTCTACAAGCAAAAACACTTTTATGGGCATTATGGTTGTGAATATAAGAAGGATCCCAAAAGACCTTGGGAAATGGATGAGGAGAATTATGGTCAGAGTAAACCAAAAATTCCTTCTCGTGAAAACATATCTTACCCATCTCTTGAATGTAGATCACCTTCCCCAAACACAAGAAGAAACTCGTGGGAATATTCTTACAGGCCTTACCAAGTATGCTCACCCGAAAGAGAAGACTTTAACAGAATATCTCAGTATATGCCGAAATACTCAGGTGTACTCGACAACGAGCTTGAAATAACTTATCCCCAGAAGATGCAAGAAAGTTATTTTATCAATGACGACAAAGTTGGAGGAAAAGGAGGGAAGCCACCTCAGAGTTCAACAGCAGATTTGCTTAGATTTGAAGGAGCCTGGCAGGAAGAAGAATTCAGGAACCAGTGGATGCAAGAAAAAATGTATGCTGAGTTATCTAAAAGAGGCTCTGAAGATTCTGAAACAAGGAGTTCTTTTCAGAAGAGGTATAGGAAAACTAGTATAAAGCCACATGTGAAAAAATTTATTTGTATTATGGTTGAAGATAGTGACCTTGTAAAGCTTTTGTCTGTAAAGATAAAAAGCACTGTGATTTAGTTATATTCTATTAGTAATAACGAAGTATTTATTTTTATAGTAAATTATGTTGATTAGAATTTTTTTTTTAAGTTGGTATTTTTTGTTGTTTTTTAACTACCTTGTATCTCTATGAATTGACTTGAGAAATTGTAGGTTAACTTAACATGCTTCTCCACATTCTATGCATATAAATTCTCATATAAACTGCTTTATGTTAACACAGGTTTCCTGAGGATCCTGATTTCAGCATATATGGATATACATCACAGAAATCGAAAGACGTGGAGAAGTATGAAAACATAGAGCCTGTCAGGGATCTATTGTGGAAGCCCGAGACTTCTTTTCCACATTATCCAGAAAAGAAAGGTCTGAGTGACTTTAGACTCCAAAATGATTGGCATGCTGAAAGGGACTATGCAGAGGCCAATTCAGTAAACAGAATATCCTATGACTACTGCCACAAATTTCATAAGCCCGCAGGTGAGGACCAAGACTTTTCTCCTGGAAGAATTCAGAAGTATTTTAAAGAAGATGATAGAAAGTACAGTTCTCAAAAAGGCCCTGTAAATACAAAGTCCGATTGTTTTAATGCTGGAGGAGGGAGAGAAGTTAAAGATGTGCTACTTGAAGAACCTTTTACACAAACTAAGAAAGACTACGTTGCTGGTACTAATTCAAATGAAACTGATATTGCTTCACAACCCTTTAATGATGAATGGAAGGAAAAACTAAAGAAAGAAGAGGACTTAAGAAAAGAAAGCAAGTCTTCCAGTAGTCAGCTTGACAGAATACTTCCAAATGTAAAACCCTCATCTTTCAATGGTAGGAGGAGTTCACTTATGATTAAAGTAGATGTGAAGAAAAGCATGGATAGATCCAGGTACTGTCGTAGTTTCTTCCTTATGATATTTAATAAATGATGATGAGAATTTTTTAAAAGTTTGTATTTTCTGCCACCTTTACTTGCAGTTTTGAAAATGGAATTAGCAGTGTGTTTAGAATCTATTGAAGGGGAGGGATTGTCTAGAGTTTTTCAAAGGAGCCCTGTAATGAGGATGAATTCTGTGATTCCTCATGTAGGGAAATCTCATCTGCATATTTCCACATTGTCTCTCATGCTGAGTCATGGGTGCAGGGCAATTCATGGAGTTATTTCTTTTTATGAATGCAAATGTAATTTATATTGTCAGATTTTCCTTATTAAGGGATAGGTTAGGGTGGAGCTCAAGGACAGCTAGTCTTTCCTCAGTTTCTCAGAGATTATGGCTCCTTGTTGTCTGAAATTCAGGGGATTTTTGAACTGGAAGGGACCTTAGCAAGCCCTGATTTTACAGAGGAAGAAAGTTCGGCCTGAGAGATGAAGTGACTTAGAGCACCTGAAACTAAAATCCATGTGTCTCCCTCGTAACTCAAGGAGGCGTGAGACCTGGTTCTTGCTGCCATCTGAAAGTGATGAGCTCAACTGACTAGATTCTCCTAGATAGAAGAAAAAAGACTGTAATCTAGAAAGATGTGTTTTTAGAATAAATTTGATTTCGCTCTTAATGATTCTTTAAAAAAAAACAAAAAATGGCCTACAGGTTTACTACAGCTGCGTAGTAAAGAGCAAATCCACTCTTTTAAATATGCTCAAGTAACCTAGTCAACAAAATCTTTCTCTCTGATTGTAATTATTTATTGATGAATGCTTTTCAGAAATTTTGTGGGGTTGGATCAGTGACATAACCTTAAAAAACAAAAGGTAATTAATACCCTTAGTAGAAATTTCTTCTCAAGCATTAAGACAAATTACATTTTTCTCTGCTTGAAAAAGAAAGAAAGAATCATACTTAGAGTATAGAGAGAAGATGTCGTTGGTTAAAATACAGTTTATTTGTTATTTCTGAATGACTAAGATGGTTAATTTTGTGCATTTGTTTACTTTCTGAGTATTGCTATTTGTTCTTCCAATTATCAGTATGATAAAAAACAGTTAAATAACCTAAGTGAATTTCTAGATTCCAGTTTCTATCTAAAGGAACTGTAGGTAGACATTTGCTGGAATCTTCGTTACTTGTGTTAAAGACTATATTATAGTAGCCTAGTTTGTCAGACACGTCATTATCAGAGGTAGATGTTAACGTATGAGTCATAATAATATGTTTCAGAATGCAAGTTCAATGAGTCACAGTATGAAAATTTACACTAAGAATATTACATATCTGAAAACATGAACTGTTTTATATATCTGGAAATCTTGGAACAGGTGAAGGAAGGTGTTGGGTTAATGTTGGCCTGTGTACGTGAGGCTCTGAGCAGAGTAAACTGATGATGATGGACGCAAGGTTCCTTTGATTTCCCCAGTTGCTAGCACTGGATCTTTTCATTTCTTGTTGTCTGGTCTCCTAGATGATTCGGTTGAGGTTGATAGTACAGGCATACCTTATTTTATTGTGGTTCACAGTTAATTGTGTTTGTTTGTTTAACAAATTCCATGTTTGTGGCAACCTATGTCTACCAAGTCTATCAGGTGCCATTTTTCCAGCAAGGTCAACAGTTCAAGTTCACCAGCTGCTCCTTGGAAACCCTATATAGGGTCGCTATGTGATGGCACTTAACAACAACAACAAGAAGCTATCATTATCATCTAAATAATAGTACCTAGGGATCAGGCAAACTCTTAAGGAAAATTATGAAGTCCTAGAAAACATTAAAGTGGGAGATACAGCTGGAATTATATTGTAAATAACAGCATTTTCTTTAAAGGTAACTTTAGGGTAAAATAATAAATGGTTCTAATGATTACAGCTTTGCTAATGACAGCCTGTTGTCTGAGAGTTAGTGAAGTGATTGAGGATTTTTTATGAAAGTAGCGAATATTTAAATGATTTCTGATTTGAAAAGAAGAACTCAAGCGAAGCTTTGGATCTGTAGCTAATTTCTCCTCATTATTGTTCATATAGTGCCTTAATTACAAGAAAAGATAAACATCTTATTTAGTCTTACAGCTGTCTTAAGATTAATTTTAATAAGTTCTTTGAAAAATAGATTCATATTAAACATTTGCAAATTATTCTAGGGTTGCTTCTAGCTATTCCAGAGAGAGACAGATGTCACATGACTTGACTGCTGTTGGCAGAAAAAGTGAGAATTTTAATGTAGTGTTTCAACATCTTGACTCAACTCAGAACACTGAAAACAAACCTGCAGGAGAATTTATTCAGGAAATTATAACAACGATTCATCAAGTTAAAGGTTGGTATATTTTACATATACATAAGTGATACAAAAGTAACTTACTGACTTTTCATGAAGATAGGTGAATATCTGTGAAATCATTAGTTCCATCTTTAGGAAATCCATTGGAGAGAATATTAGGCATTCATTTAAAACCTAGCTGCTCATTACATGTAGTTCCAATAACCTTGTGCTTCCATTTATAGTAGATTAGAAATCACAAGTTAGAAAGGGATTGCTACATGAGAAAACATACTGACAGCAGCAAGAAATGATAACTGGTATCTAACAGCAGGGAGGGAGCAGCAAAAAGCGGGTATAAACTTGAGAACGTAAGAAATCAGCCTAGGTCATTTCATGCTATTCTTAAAGGTCTCTGGAGGTATTACTGGAGCTCTAGGTAATCAATAAAGATCCCAATTTGATTTGGTATGCTTTATGGCATCAGGGAATTACATCAGAAATTCTTAAAGGTTTACATTAAATTGTTACGTTTTGTTGTAGTTTCTGGCAAATTTCTATTGTATAAAATTTAATCCTGTAGAACAACTTTCCTCAGTTGTGGGTATTTAAACTCGAGGCCTTTAAGAACGTCAAAAAAAAAAAAAAAGTTAGTATGTATTTCTTACTAGATAATTGCATTAATCTTTTTTACCTCCATAAAACATTTCTCAAAACTGATTGATTTCTTTGCTTCCCTCAAACTAAGACATATGTTTACTTTAAAGCAGACAGTTTGTGTGAAATAGTTTATCCTCTCATCTACAGACCCAAAGGAAATGTGATTCTTAGCAGAAAGGGTTCTGCTATTACAGAAAAGACCAGGAGATTGTTCCAAAACAGGAACAATAAATTAGGGGAAAGGATTGCTAGCGTAGTGTTCTGATGGGTTAAGTACATTGTCTTTGCTGTCATTTAAAAAACCTACAGCATAGCTGTAACATTGGAATGTTTTCATGAAATTTGAAACAAAATGACATCAGGAGGGATTCTGTGATGTATAATCATAACATTTAGCATTTGTTCTGACTTGTTTTGTTGTTTCAGAGTTGTTTCCTGGTGTTAATCTTTACTCTAGGTGAACTGTAGAGCTCTGTACTATCTTTACTTTCCAGGTATGGTCAGGTTTTACTTTAGAGAAGAAGGGTTGTCACTTTGAGAGAGCCAATATTTCCCCATTCCAACCCCTACTGTAGACAGACAAGTAAGCAGGCATGTCAACTAGAAACAGAATCCTTAAAGTAATCAGATGGGTTTGCTATTGTTTAGGTTTGGAGTTTGGGGAAAGCACTATGAATTAATCTGAAGTAAGTTTAGAATCCACATATTTTTAAGAGAAAACCTGTTGTATATTTTCCTGTTTTTATATACTCTTTCAAGTAGAATCAGTTTTGCATTGAGATAAACCCCATTTGTTTCCTTTTTCAGAAAATAATTTTTCATCACCTGGCATTACTCTACATGATCGTTTCTCAGAATTGCAAGCTACACGAGGTACAGGTGTAAACGAAATTAAATTGAGCTCAGATCCCAGACTTCACAGGTAATGATTTAACTCATAGGAATAAACCTCAGATTCAGAAAGGTTTTGCCTCTTGGTCTCACTTGCCTGGGCTTGTAAACTGTAGGACTACATTTCCTTCTTATAAACAGAACTAACCCAAGCAGATACTGGGCCAGTGTACTTTGATGAAATAGGCTGTTTTCAAGCTTTGACTAGTGTTGTTTAAATGTATAAGACTTTAAAAATATTTACCTCCCTTTGATCCTGCTGTGTCTGTAGTAGTTACCTACTGAAGTTATCACTGGAAAAATGAAAGACAGTTGTCAAGCCATCAAAATCATGAATTGATTCATGTGATCAGAAATGGCTGTTTTGAGGGCAGCTGGATGCACACATGTCTTCTGTTGGCACTTGGCCAAGCAGGTGGTGGTTTGTGAGCTGAGTTGAGTTTAAGGTTACTGGTGATTTCAGAAACACTCAGGTCCTGGTGGTGCTATGGGTTAAGCTTTGGGCTGCTAACCTCAAGGTTCAAATCCACCAGCTGCTCCTCAAGAGAAAGATAAGGTTTTCTGTTCCCATAAAGAATTTGGGTGTCGAAAACCTTAAGAAGCAATTCTACTCTACTCTCTTGGGCCACTATGAATGGAAATCGACTTGGTGGTGGTGGAGTGTAGAGTTGTTTTTGTTTTCTTGTTGTTTTTTTTAAGGACCCCTGGTGACCAGGCATTTAAAGCACTCAGCTGCTAACTTGCTGACTAATAGGCTGGCAGTTGAAACACACCAGTTTGTTCCACAGGAGAAAGATGTGGCAGTCTGCTTGCATAAAGATTCACAACCTTTATGTGAAACCTTATGGGGCAGTTCTACTCTGCCCTTTATGGTAGCTGCTATGAGTCAGAGTGGACTTGATGGCATTAGGGGTTTTTTGTTGTTGTTGTTGATTTTGTCAAGCTTCACTGCAATGGTCATAGGATGTGTATGTTCTGGAAGACTGCCATATAGGTGAAAAACTCACCAAATAGCAGATTACGTCCTTCAAGACAACACAGGCTTTATTTCAAATCCTTATTCTATAGTAAATGGAATCAAAGTATTAGTATATATAACATAATTATTTAATTTTAATATGCCTTTATTATTTTAGGAAAATGGATATGTCTTTGGTTGAGTTTCAGAGTAGACCAATGGGTTATGAATCAGAACAGGTAAGTAAATAGAGTTTTGAATGAAAGATTATCTCAACTGTTCATATACTAATGGGAAAGGGAATTGGTGACTGATAATAATAAAAAAGGAGTTAAAAATCCACAATACTTTAAAAAAAAGATTGTAAAAAAAGAAAATGAAAGGAATACATCAAGTCACTGTCTCAAAAAGAAATGATCAATGTTTAAACATTTCAAGAGGTGTACCATACGGTCAAGAGCTAATGATACTGAATGAAGAAGTGTAAGGTGCACTGAAGGCATTGACAAAGAACAAGACTCCGGTAAATAATGGAATATAAATTGAAATCTCTCAACAAACTGATGAAGCACTGGCAGCATTCATCTATGCCAAGAAATTTTGGAGACAGGTAACTGGCCAAATGATTGGAAGAGATCCATATTTGTGCCCATTCCAAAGAGAGGTGACCCAATGGGGAAATCATCAGAAAATATCATTAACATAACACGCAAGTAAATTTTTGCTAAATATAACTCAAAAACTGCCAGAGGTCCAAGGCAGATTCAGACAAGGAGATGATTTGAGGGCTATCATTGTTCACATCTGATGGACCTTGGCTGAAAGTATATAATACCAGAAAGATATTTACCTGTGTTTTCTTAACTATGTATGGCTTTTGACTGTGCAGATCATGAAAAGCTCTGTGTAACACTGGGAAGAATTTGTGTTAAGAGCACTTAAATGCTCTTAACACAAATATATAGACTAAGGCAGTCTTTCCAACAGAACAAGGGGTAATGTGTAAACTCAGGAAAGGTGTGTGTCAGGGTTGTATTATTCATTTACCATACTTATTCATTCTGCATGCTGAAAAATATTCTGAAAAACAGGATTGTGTTAAGAAAATGTGGCATCAGGATTAGAGCAAGACTCATTAAGCACTGTTATTTTGATGATACAACCTTGTTTGCTGAAAGCTAAGAGGACTTAAAATACTTACTGATAAATATCAAAGACCACAACATGGGTTGCACCTCATTGTAAAGACAAGAAAAATACTCACCATTAGACCAATAAATAACATCATAAAATCAATATTCTTCAACTAAAATGTAATGATGAAACAGATGAATCAAAGACATTATCTGCATGCCCCAGTTTCTAATTTATGATATCATGAAAATAGCTTTAGTTTTATAATTTATTGACTTTAATAAATGAATTTTTACATCTTAAAAGCTATCTGCTAATAAAATAGTATTTAATCTGCCTTACTCCTGCAGGTTCTCTCTTTGGGTTAATTTGGGGAAAAAACTGTGATAGTGCTGCTAAAATGAAATTGAAAACTAGTGATTTAGAATAAATGAATCAATCAGGGGAAAAACGGAGTTAAAGTACATGAGAAAATAAGATGGAGACCCAGAAATCTGATCTTTAAAAAGCTTTCCAAGTGATTCTGATTAGTGATTGGATTGGAGAGAGAAGACAGATAAAACAGGATAAAAACCAACTATATTTTCTAGGGCAGACAGTTCCTAAGGAAAACAGTTTCATGAAATTGAGATAAAATTACAGCCTTTAATATTCATTCCCGAACAGTTTATACTGTAAAGCCTGAAAAAAAGCATGTTTGGAACCTGTTTTCCTATAGCAGTTATATGGAATAGATTCTGTATTTGTACATGGAATTAATACAAAAGAACTATTTTTTTTATTAGCTTCCTATAAGTCAGTACCGACTCAATGGTACCTAACAAGAAGAACAACAACAACATTTACTGAAGAATGTAAAAAAAAAAAAAAATCCTATGGAATATGAACCAGCAAACTAATAGAAATAATATTAAATTTTTATTCATCTGTGTAGTACATGGCTCTCACTCAGTACCTTTCCTTTCCCTCTATTTCTTTGCTAATAAGAAAAACTATTTTAACTGGTTGTGGGGGTGGGAAGAAAAGTGGTTCTTGTCTTAGAAGTGTCCTAGAAGAGCTACTAATGTAGTCATTAAAACAAAAATTTTTTGTAGAGAAGACAATACTTTTTTTTTTTCACTTGTGAAATGGTTATAATTTTTAATGAATTTATGGAGCTGGTTGACTTATTGAGCAGATGATATTTTCAGAAAATTTTAAATCAAATTAGTGTAAACAACTTAGAACAAAATTGAGAATTTTAAAAATGCATGTAATTTAACCCTTTAACACAAAATATTTTATCAGCTTTCCTTGCAGTTTTAGATCTTGCATTTTAACAGTTTTTCTAGCATAAGTATATGCAGTTTAGTAAACTTTTTTCTTTTTACTTAAACCATAATTACATTCCTTTTAACATGAACACCTGTGAGCTTTTATAATTGAGCTTTTTATAAGTTCTAGTTAACTTTTTTCAGTATTACTCTCATGTTCTTGCAGTCTTTATTATCATAATATAAATGGTTATACATTAGTCCTTTGAGTTAATTTACCATAATATATTTAATCATTTTTTTCTCCCCTTTAATTTCTACATTTAAGGTACGTCCACTTCTTTGTGTGACTTTAAATATATTAATTTGTATATATTCAAAATATGTCCCATTTCTTTAGGGTAGAGCTCCAGAAGTAGGATTTCCAGTTCAGTGTTATAAACTTTTCTGGCTGTATATTGTTAATTGTGTTTCAAAATGTGTGTATCCTTTAACACTACCATTAGTAGGATGAATACAAGATAACTTATTTAAGATATTTATTAAGGTTCCTATTAGATGTAGTTTTTGTGCAACTAACAATAATGTGAATGGTTTGTCTTCTGTCAAAATTCCTCAGAATATGGTCAAAGTAATACATCCAAATGACCTACGACATAACATTGAAAGAAGGAGAAGAGAACGATTACAGAATGAAGACGGGCACGGTTTTTACAATGCTAGTGCTACAGAGAGGTAATCGGTAGATGCATCCTGTTATCAGGAAGCTTTTGGTCTCAGCATATTTTCAATTTTTTTTAGTATAGGGATTTAATCCTTCAGATAAGTGAACTCTGTTAAAACATTTCAAAGTTACTCAGTGACCATAATATTCTGTTTTATCTAAACAAACCAAAGTTATGGGGATAGGTAAATATTTACGGTCTTCCCTTGTTCTAGACAGGAGTTTCAATAGATTTTTGAATATTCGCAGGAGCCAGAACCAGTAAGTTTATGGAATGTTTTGTTAAGTTGATTAAGAATCTGCCCTTTAGTTTCTGGCAGTCTTTGAATAGTACACAATTTCCTGAGGTCAGTAAAATTCTCTTGTGGGACTTCTCTCAGATGCCTGTCCATGAAATAGGTAGATGAACTAGAAACTGCAGGGGAAACCAAGTTTGAATCTCACCTTTGCCAGCTTACAAGCTCTTTGATCTTGGGCAAACTTGCTGAGTCTCTGGTTCTTCTCCATCTATAAAGTGAGAATAACCATATTTATGATACAAGGAGGTTATAAATATTAAATGAGCTGGCACATGTGAAGTACTTATGCCATGTGTCAGTAACTCTTTTTTCTGCCAACTTTGTTACTTCTTTTAGGGACTCTGACTATATTACATTGGCCTCAGTTTTTCTCAAGTTCTAAAAACTATGCACTGCATGGTAGTTCTGGGACCCCACTTAATTATGAAGTGCAGAGTCCTCATAGACTGTATCTCCCAGAAAAGAGGAATGTATGAATAAGAAGTACCAGGGCTACTTGTTTATCCATAGTCCTTAGTATCAGATGACTAAGATGTTTGGCTAGATTTTTAGGTCAACTTTGTGACTAACTACACTAGGTCTCAATCAAAATAGATGGAGCTTGTTTAAAAGTGGAACTGATTCTAACAATTTACTTGAGGCACATGAAGCAGAATTGAAGATAATGTTCACCATGGAGGTGGTAAAGAGCTTGAGCACTGGAGTTACACCAGGCTCTGTAACTGCCCAGTTAAGTGACTGGCCTTGGCAATTTACATAATCCCTCAGGTTCCTTATTTGTACAATTGGGGAAAGAAATACACTTACCTTACAGAGGTGCTTAAGATTCAGTGAGGTGGTGATTGTAAATTCACCATTGTTGTTGATGTTAGCTTTGAGGACACTGTTGTAGGGTGCAATGATGTTTTCTTGCAAGATATCTTTTGCTAGACCTGTCAAATTATTTGTGTTGAGTAGTTGGTATGTTGGAGTTGAGTGAGGTATTTTTTAAATTTAGATAATAGTCACTTAGACGCTGTGGGCTAATGCGTCATACTGCAAAGTCGTTTGAACTGCAAGGTTGGTGGTTCAAGCTCACCGGCTGCTCCTTGGAAACCCTCTGCAGGGTCGCTATGGGTGGGAATCGATTCGATGGCACTTAACAACAACAACCATAAAATTTATCTTTGGAAAGTGAACAGTTCAGTGGTTTTTAGTATATTTACAAAGTTGTATAATAGTCACCACTATCTGATTTCAGAACATTTTCATCTTCCCCAAAAGAAGTGCCACATCAATTAGAAGTCACTTCTCATTCCCATGCTCTCACCCCAGCCTATGGCAACTACTAATCTACTTTCTGTCTCTATGAATTTTCCTCTTCTGGATATTTCATATAAATGGAATCATGCAATATTGTGGCCTTTTATTTACCAATGCTTTAAAGTTTATTCTATGGTATAGCATTTATTAGGACTTCATTCTTTGTTTTTTTGAGTGAATAATGTTCCATTATTCCTGGTGCGGCACTGTTGGATATGGAGCAGCTCTCTGTCCTATTGCCAGGGTCGCTATCAGTTGGAATGGACTTGATGGTAGAGGTTGATTGGTTGGTTTGGTTAGTGGGTGTGAAGGGCCATCTCTCTGTCATTTGATTTGCATTTCTTTGATGGCTGTTGAGGTTGAGCATCTTTTTGTGTGCTTATTGGCTATTTGTATGTCATCTCAGGAGAAGTGTCTATTTGTCTTCATTGATGTTTTTCCGTGGAGTCGCTTCTGACTCACAGTGACCCTGCACAGGGTTTCCAAGGCTGTAAATCTTTATGGGAACAGAATGCCTCATCTTTCTTCCGCAAAACCGCTGGTAGTTTCTAACTGCTGACCTTGAGGTTGGCAGCCCAACTCATAACCACTATACTACCAGAGCTCCTATTTATGTCCTTAGCTGCTTTTTAAATTGGGTTATTTGTCTTGTTGCTATCGAGTTCTTTATATAATGTGGCTTCAAAAAATTTGTGGAAATGGTAATAGAATATTTTCACAATTTTTTGAAGCCCCCACATATATTTTAGATAGTTACTTCCTTATCAGATACATGCTTTTTGCAAAGAGGATTTTTTAAAGGGCCTTGGTGGTCATGATGAGGAGTATTATAGCATTTATCCCGATGCCAGTGAGGATCTGTGGAAGGAAATGAAGCAGGACTGAGGTAACAAGCATTTCATTTCATGGAGCAGAACCTCCAGAGAGCATGGGAGTATCATGGAGAGAGGTGGTATGTGACTGGGAGGGTAAGGGCTATGGAAATGATGTTTCCAATTCTGGTGGAGAAGCCCCCCCAAAGGGACCTCCATCCCAGATAGGGCTGCCCAGGAAGATGGGGGAGGCATGGTCTGGGTCTCTAGCTGGGGGGTTTGGTGGTCCTGAAACCTCATGACACCAGGGGAGGGGAGCATGTTTGCTGTGGGGGCACAGCAATGCCAGAAACCCCTATTGTAGTGAGGAGACCCTGAGCCAGTCACACATCTTAGTGAATGGACTTTTTATTGTTGGATACAAAATTCTTATTCTCATGCTTTTCTTTTATTAGGAATGATCAGCGTTTAAGTTTTTCGAAGTCGAAGACTACTCATTCTGATGGATTAGAAAGACCTGTACGTTTTAAACACTCACATTTTAGAAAGCGTTTTCAGAAATTTTAACAGGGTAAGATAAAGTTTCAAACTTCATTTTTGTCCATTCCATTATCCTCATACATGGATCCCTAATGTTTTCATAATGTTTGTAACTGTTCATTAAGTACATGCTAAGAGAATCAAGAATCTGTTGAGGTTTAAAGTTATTGATAGAAGAAGAAATGGGAATCTTACATTTTATTTAGCAGAATTTTATTCAATGTATTATAGTTTTGTCTTTCATTGCCTAAGCTGTTTTTAAAGAACTTTAGTAAGGTGAAATTTACATACCCCATTAGGTCTGCAGTTGAATGACTTTTAGTAAATTCACTGAGGTACACAACTATAATCTTAGCTAAACTAAAGATATCAGTTTGAGAATGAAGGTGTCACCTGACTTAAGCCATGGTGTTTTTCATTCGCCTCATATGCTTGTGAAAGTTGGACGCAGAATAAAGGAAGACCGTAAAATTGATGCATTTGAGTTTTGGTGTTGGAAAATAATATTAAAAGTACCATGGACTGCCAGAAGAACAAACAAATATGTCTTAGAAGTATGGCCAGAATACTCCATAGAAGCCAGGATGTCATACTTTGGACATGTTATCAGGAGAGACCAGCCCCTGGAGAAGGACATCATGTTTGGCAAAGTTGGGAGGGTCAGCAAAAAAGAGGAAAACCCCCAACACCATGGATTGGCACAGTGGTTATAGCAATGGACTGAAGCATAACTGTTGTGAAGATGGTGCAGGACTGGGCAGTGTTTTGTTCTGTTGTTCACAGGGTCGATAAAGTTGGGACCAAATTGACACCACTTAGCAACAGCTATCACCATAAATTGTTTCAGAACATGTTCATCACCCCACTATGAAAACCCTATGATTCTCAATGCCCCAATCTACACCTAATCATGAAGTGGCACAGGACCAGGCAGCATTTCATTTCCATTGTATCTGGGGTGTTCCATAGGATTTTTAATTGACGGATTTTTGGAGGTAGGTCACCAGGTCTTAGTTTAGAAACTCATTTGAAATCTGTTCAGCATGACAGCATCATGTAAGCCTCCAATGACAGACAAGCAGTGGTTGTGCATGAAGTGTATTTGGCCAGAAATCAAACCCAGGTATCTCCCACTGGACCACCACTGCCCCCATCATGTGACATTGTTAGATGCTGTCAAGTCAGTTCCAACTTGGTGACCTGTGTCATTACTATGTTTGAACCCATTGTTGAAGTCACTGTGTCAGTCCATCTCATTCTGGTCTTTCTCTTTTTCATTGACCCTCAACCCAACATGATGTCCTCCAGGGACTGGTTCCTCCTGATAACATGTCCAAATGACATGAGACAAAGTCTTGCCATCCTTGTTTCTAAGAAGCATTCTGTACTTCTTCCAAGACATGTTTTTCCTTTAGTCTGGCAGTCCATTGTATATTTAATATACCCCACCTGTGGTGCTATAAGAAAAGCACTGGACTGATAAATGCAAGGTTGGTGGTTCAAATCCACCAGCAGTTCCTCAGAAACCCTATACAGGGTTGCTGTCAGTTGTAAGCGACTATGGCACTAAACAACACCAACCAGCATCATAAATGAAATGTATAACTTCTTCTCCAGTCTTCTTATTCACTGTTCTGCTTTCACATGCATATGAAACCATGGAAAATATCATGGCTTGGCTCAGGCTCACCTTAGTCCTCAAAGCGACATTTTTGCTTAGGTCTTTTGTAGCAGATTTCCCTAAATTCAATACTTGACTGCTGTTTTCATGGGTATTGATTGTGGATCCCAGCAAAAGGAAATCCTTCATCTTTTCTCCATTTATCATGATTTTGGTTATTGGTCCAGTTGTGAGGATTTTCATTTTATTTATGTTAAGATGTTATATATACTGAAGGCAGCCATCTTTGATCTTCTTCAGTAAGTGCTCCAAAGCCTTCTTTTTTTTAAAGGTTTTTATTGTGGATTGAGTGAAAGTTTACAGGGCACATCATCAGTTTCACATTCAACCATTCATATAACTTGTTTCATTACATTGATTATAATCCCCTCCAAAGCCTTTTTGCTGTCAGCAAACAAGGTTGTGTTTCTTTCTTAAATCCTGATGCCATGTTCTTCTTCAAATATAATCCAGCTTCTCAGATTATTTGCTTAGCATACAGATTGAATAAGTATGATGAAATGATACAACCCTGACACACACCTTTCCTGATTTTAAACCATTCACTATACCCTTGTTCAGTTCTAACAACTGCCTCATGGTCTAGGTACTGGTTTCACATGAGCACAATGAAGTGTTCTGGAATTCCCTTTCTTCACATATAGTTTTCAGAAGCAGCTGTGGCCCTACAATATAATATGTAAACATATTTTATTCTATCTTTAATATCTTGAGTAATAAAGTATAAAATCAACTGAAAAATTGATGTCAGTATAACTTAAGATGCAGTGCAGATGGAGTTTCAGAAGTAAGTGGTTCCTGTGTGTTGGTATTTTAATTGAACAGGCATAGTTGATTATAGCACTTTTTAAAGATTGTCATAAAATTTATTTCCTGCCTACCCTCCCTTCCCCTTAAGAAAAGGTTCTTTAACATTAATTCTTAGAAAAAACTTTTTTCAGAATATAAGCACTAATCTTAGTTCTTGGCTGATGTTAAGTGCCGTGGAGTTGATTCTGACACATAGTGACCCCATATAGGGTTTCCAAGGCTTTAAATCATTGTGGGAGCAGAAAGCCTGGTCTTTCTCCCATAGAGTGGCTAGTGAGCTCGAATCGCTGACCTTGTGGTTCGCATTCCAGTGTTTATCCTATAGAGGCGCCATGCTCCCTCCTCTTGACTAATCATTTAAAATTGTGTTGTGTTACTTGGTGGTTAAAATATATCAATTCTTTAGGATAAAATAGTGGGAAGAAATATTTTTTTCTAAGAAAAGGAACTACATAAATTTATTCTTTATTTGATTTGGTCATATTCAAAGCCATATAGTAACCACCTCATTTGAGATGTAAAATGGAGAATAGAAATCTCAAGATTGGTGCTAATGTATCAAGTGTGAGAAGATAGTCTAATACAAACACAGTATTTCATGAAAATTCTGTCTAACCTGAAATTTGTGGTGGTGGTTGGTGGTGGTGGTGTGCCGTGAAGTCGGTTCAGACTCATAGCGACCCTGCATAGGGTTTCCGAAGCTGTAAATCTTTACAGAAGCAGAAAGCCTCATCTTTCTCCCACAGAACAGCTGGTAGTTTTGAACTGCTGACCCTGAGGTTAGCAGCCTGATTCATAACCACTTAGGAAAGTAATCAAAAGGGAAGCCTGATGCAAATACTTTTCTATAAACTTAACAAATTTTTTGTGCATATCTTATTCATACTTCAATAATTGTGGAAAGAGGAATTGACTTAGCTTTTATATTACTTTTACATTTTTTTCCCTATAGCATTGCACATCATATATGTGTCCTGTTAGAAATACTCTAAGAATGAGACATAAATAAAACTAAACTTCATAAAGATTTAAATCCATTCTTCTGGCCAGATGTTGAAAATGATTATAGAACCTAACATTTTCTGTTTATATATTTAAACATTAATCAGGCAATAATTTTTTAAAAGTTTTTATTGTGAATTGAGTGAAATTTTACAGGGCAGATCATCAGTTTTACATTCAACAAATCATATACTTTGTTTCATAACAATGATTATAATCCCCTCCATGTACTATCAGTTAACAGTATTTTTCTCTATTCGTTTTAGCTCTTTTTTTTTTTTTCTTTAAACACTCAGTCATATATAATAATTTACACCACCAAAGGGCACATTCCTTAAGTCTGCTTTCTGGCCAGCAGCACTCAGTCCCTCTCCATGAATCTAGAGTCCTCAGCTGCTCCCTCCTCTCTCCATGTCCCCATCTCTGTCTCCATCTCTGGTATCGCTCCTTCTCTGGATAAGGTCCCACATTCCGCTTGTGCTCTTCTCCCTTGATGGTCCTAGGGTCCTCTGTTTCTGGACTGTAAGATTAA